TTCTTCATTTTTATTTTTTTAGGTATTCATTTTTATTGTGGACAATTTTTATTGTTATATTCATTTATGTTTGTAAATAATTTATTTTCAATTTGCAATCTATTAAAAAAATTAAAATTTAAATTAAAAAAAAAAACTATTGGCATATGCGTTCTCTTGTTCTTTGGTCTCACCTAGAATGGAATTGTTAGTTCATACCTCTGCTGCCCTGTGGAAGAGGAAGCAAAATGTGGAACAGGCTTGGAAGCCACCTATGGTCCTGCTGTAGGCAGCAGGCCTGCTTGCTGTGTCACTGGCGTCACAGGCAGGGGCCTTCCTCTCCAATTTGCTTTTGGATATCATTTAATCTTTTGCCTTATTATTGGTCTGTTTAGGTTTTTCGGTTTTTGATGTTTCAGTCTTGGTAGGTTATATGCATTCAGGTATTTATTAGCTCTGCAGATTTCCCAGTTTGCCGACGTAATTATTATTGTCTGTAATTACTTTTTGTACATCTATGGTGATAGTTATAGTGATTACTTTTTATCTCTGATTTATTGATTTGTATCTCCTCTATTGAAAGATAAGATTGTTAGCTGTAGTATTTTTGGTTAGTACTTTTTTTCATTAAGGATTTTAAATATATCATCCCACTCCCTTCTAAGTCTCAACGTTTCTGATAAGAATTCCACTGGTAGTTTTTTTTTTGTTTTTTTTTTTGTTTTTTTTTCGGAACCGGGGATTCCACTGATAGTATTGAGAATTCATTTGTCTCCTATCACTTTTAACAAACTTTTTTTGTCTTTAACATTTGACAATTTGTGGTATTTTGTGATAAGCATCACTTTGGGTTTACCTTATTTGATGTCCTGTCAGATGCATGGATCTGGCTTTGTTTCCTTCCCAGGCTTGGGAAATGTTCTGCCAGTATTTCTTCTGTTCTATTTTCTATCCTTTCCCTTGTTCTTGTTCCTTCTGGAGTGGTCAACAATATTTAAATTGTCCTGCTTGATAGTGTCCCATATGCATATTAAGTTATTTTCACCATTTTTTTTAAGTTCCGATATTATTTACTTATCTTAAAGTTCACTGATCATTTCTTCTACTATATCTGGTCTCTTGTTGAACCATTTTCTATTTAATTTTTCAGCACAGTGCTTCTTCAGATCTGTTCTTCATGTTTGCTATTTTTTTATACTTTTAGTTGAAATTCTGTTTTGTCTTGCATTGCTCATTTCAGCTTTATGAACATTTTTATGTGCATTATTTTTAATTTTCTCTTGGATAAATCAAGACTTTATTTAGGTATGTTTCTGGAGATGGTTTTTTGTTGTTGTTGTTGTTGTTTTAAAAGCATATTTCCTTGATTTCTTTGTAGGGCTCTATGCATATATAGCAACAAACTACGGTCTGTATCCTGTTAAGTTGGCCTTGCATAGGGGTAGTTTTTGGCATTTTCTTGGCCACAGATTTTAAGAAATCTCTTACACTTCTGTGTGTTTCAGACTGCTCTCTCTGACTTTTGGTGGTGCCTTGGAGCTGAGTATGTGCTATATTTTGCCAATATTCTGAAGCAGCAATGTAGTTCCCAGAATTTTTAGGTGGTATAGAAAGGTTTTTGATTTGAGTGTGCATTTGTTTCTTCTGTCATCACAGTGTGTAGTAAGATAGAGAGAGGATCTGTGGCAAATGCCACAGATTCAAATTCAGACTGTACCTTCAGATTCTAAGAGGGTGATGGCTGAAAGTGGCCTGTTTTATGACTGTTTTTTCCTGTGGTCTTCAGTCACTCAGGGTAGGATAGGCCTTGCAGTATCCAGAGTTAGCTTGTTAAAGAGAAAATCCCATAGGTGGGTCGTATAGGAAGTTATGGTACATTGTGCATAGCTAAATTTCTTCCAAACAGTAGCTAGGACTGGATTTATCTGTGGCAAAAACCAGGGGGAGATTTTATGTAGTCTCTACCTTTGACTCTAGCTGTCACAAAGCAACTGTTTGCTTGCCTTCTGAGTTGTGCAGTTCAAATTCATTAGAAACCAGGCCATCAAGTAACCACTGCAATTTTGTGTAAGAAGCCTTTTTCAGAAAACAAAAAATCAGAGCTGGACATTCCCTGTTTCCGCTTTTCTCCAAAAGGGTATTGCTCCAAAAGAAGTATTTACACTTCTGTTGTAAATTATATATTTGTTCTGTTGTTAAAGAAAATGTATCATGTACCTAGTCCCCTCTGTTTTCTTTTTTTTTCTTCCCATAATTTTATTGATAAACAAATAGCAATGAGACAGTTTCAAATCAAATTGGTAGGACAGTTTCAATAATTAACACATTGCATACATTCTTCCTAGTGGTTAATTGCTGTACAAGATGAGGACATGATATCCTATCTACAAACACCATCAGAACAAATCACTCTATTCATTAAGAGAATGTAACTATATATCTATCCTAACCACTTTGAATGCACAGATACAAAATGGACATTCATCTGTATCCCCCTTTTTTTGTTAAGGTCCATTATTTGAATATTATAAGTGTTGCCCTCTGTTTTCATGACTAACAACTTTTGTTTGGAGCCTTTGAGGATGTAGCTTTAAAAATTGGATCTCTCCATCTATATTCCAGGCTTTTTGTTGGACAAAAATAGAATATTACATTTTTTTAGCCTCTTTGCTCTATTCCAAAAGGATAAAATTCCTGGAGGTGTTTGCATGCCCCTTTTCATGCTGTCTGAATATGTTCTCTACTGCTTCCAGAACTACAGACATTTAGGATATAGTCCTTTGGGTGAATGTTAGAAGATCCACAGTGCTTGGCATGTATACAAGTGTTAACTAGACTCCTGGTGCATTAATAATTATTCATTTAACTCCTCAGTGTAAGTTAGTTAAAAGCCAGGATACATGATAGCTGATGTTGGGATGTTTTATAAACCATTAAAGAGAGGGATTTGGGGAGTAGGTCCGTGTGTGTGTGTGTGTGTGTGTGTGTGTGTGTGTGTGTGTAAGTTCCTTCTCTGCATTGTTCCAACAGAAAATAAATCTCTGGTTATGCTCTTATGTCTTTATAAAGCCCTGCTTATTTTTCTGAAGTCTAGATAGATCTAGTTGATAGATTAAGAGGTAAACATAGGAAACTTATACTTAGGCCTTTACATATGAGGTCTAGACTCTCTCTACTCCACAGAAAGACACTGAGTGTTATAGATTTCCAGTTTAATGGTGAAGTCTCAGCTGGGGGTCCATGCGCAAATGTGCCTTGGCCTTTTCGGTCCATTTAATGTAGGCGTTTTTCTCAGTTGTCTAGGGATAGAAGTCTCTCAACTGGTTTCTTTCTCTAAAAAATAAAATAAGTCCTAACAAGCTCTCGTACTTATTTGCTGTATTTTTTTGGTGGAGGAAAAACTCAGGAACTCCTGATTCTGTCATATAAGTGGTATTTTTCTCCATCTCTTGTTAATGATTGTTTCGAACTTTATAGTTTTTTATACTTACTTGATTGTATGTACTTTTGTCAAAGTTCTGATAAGTCAGTTTCTTTTTATTTTTTTATTTTTTTGTGGAAGCAGGGATTGAACTGAGGCGCTTGTGCTTGCCAGGCGAGCACTTATTCTACTGAGCCATCTCCCCAGACCCTAGATAAGTCAGTTTCTGCAGGTGAAAATCTTTTGGTGAGTTTGTTAGCTCTTATGTAGTGTTGGTCTTCCTTGGTGTTAGTTTTCAATTGTCTTCATCTTACATGTATGAATTCTCCCTGAGTAGCTCCACATACTCTCTGGTTATATATTCCTAAGGTTGTTTCAGTTTCAGCTTTTTACTCTAATCCTCTAAAATTTTACTTTCTTCCTAATTGAGTAATGGCTTTATTTTCCTCAGCATATTTTTATTTTTATGTCATTTCCATAAGTTTAATATACCTGGGTACAGTGGATGGCAAATTTTTGTTGTTACTTTGCCATTGTGAAACTGAAAATTAAAGCCAAAGAAACTGTATATAAATGCATGAAAATATTGTGACCAAAGATATTTGCCAGTCAGAACAGATTTCACCCAGTATCTTTCTTTGTTTAAATATTATATTAATGTATTTGCTGTATGATATGGGAAAATCTGATGTACCATTTTGTGGTGTTTTAACAGATTTTGTACCACAAACTCTTTTTGCTTTCACAAACTATCAAGATTATCTTATAGCTTATATAAAGCTGTAAGTTATTCTGTTCATTTATCTATTCAGTCTTAGGACAAAATTTCTTTATTCTTTTTTCTTTTTTCTTTTTTTTTTTTTTTTTTTTTTAGAACCAGGGATTGAACTCAGGCCCTTGCACTTGCCAGGAAAGCGCTTATTTTACTGAGCCATCATTGGCCCCACAAAGTTTCATTTAGTTGGATAATCTTATGCTGAATTCCCAAACTTATGACATACTCTTTTCTTTTGTCTTTATAGTAACATATTCATAGTTTCATCTTTAAGAAAAATATGATGAAAAAAATTTTTGTCTCATTAACCAGAGTATAAATTTCATAGGGACAGAAACATTTTCTTTATGAGTTAAGTACTTAGTTCAGTGCTTCATGTAGGGTTATATTAGCCATTACATATGTAGTAAAACCTAAATTCACTTTTTTGTCAATTAGATGAACTTACTACTTGTAGTATGTAGTGATTTAGTTTTCCATTTGTACCTGTACTGTGTCTTTCATTAAATTAATATACTTAAAACACATCAGATGTGTTCTGCTTTAGAAAATGTATATATTTACACATTCCTTTAGGATTTTTGTGTGTGTATATATCTGGTGAATTCATCTAACCCAGGACTTCACAGATGCTGGGTAAACATGTTTCTATTGAGCTACATCCTCAACTCAATACAGCACTAAACTGTAGAATATAGTCCCTAGATATAACATAGTATAATTAATAAAAATTTATGTTAAAAATACACGGGAAATTAGTTCTAAAACTTAGAAAAATTATATGCGAAATTTATTATTGATTTAAATATTATTTTCTGTTATTAGTGCATTTGCAACAAATCAGTTTACTGGAATGGTGTATGAAACAGTACTCCTTCCCCATCGGCATTCTTTGAGAACAGGGAGTTTAGATGAAGCAGTAACTCCCAATACATCACCAGCACAATGGCCAGGTATAAATAATTTATATATTTATGAGCTTTTTCTTAATCTTTTGAAATTCTTCTGTGAGTAAAGTCGTAGGTTTGGTTTTACCATATGCTAATCATTAATACTGCTAAAGTTGATAGCAGTTCAATATTCACTACTCATTACAAGTTCTGTATTTTTTTGTTACATCATGTTTAAAATATTTTGCTTTTGTGATAATAAAAAAGTATACTATTTCTTTCATAACTGTTACTAGATAAACTTGGAAGAAAACATTAAATCATACTTTTTCAAAACTTCAAAAATCAGACAAAATTTTAAAAATAAACAATAAGATATAATAGAATGTGAAGGGTATAACACCAGTGCACTTTTAAAATTTGTTAAAACAATGTATTTGTATTTTATCACATTAAAAAAATCAAGAGGTACTATTTTTAGCATTACAGGATTTCATTAAAAATTTCAAACACATGGTCAGGTGTGGTGGCACACATCTTTAGCCACGGCACTGGGGAGGCTGAGACAGGAGGATCACTGTGTGTTTGACACCTAAGCTAAGTAGCAAGTTCAAGGCCAGTCTGAACTAAATAGTGAGACCTTGTTTCCAAAACAGCAATACAATAACAATATCAAGAATCCAAAAAGACTTAACAACAAAACAAAAATTTCAAACACAGAGTGGGAAAGGATAGCACAATTATTTCTTTTATATTCATCATGCATTCTGCATGTTTAACCATTATTAAAAGCAAATACGGGGCCAGGGATTTTAAATGTTCTTACATTTATTATACTCAAATCAGTAATTAATTAATAGTATCTTTTATTCACCTAATGCTCAAATTTTTCTTTTATCCAAGATAGGATTCAATCAAGAAATATGCCTTAAGGGGGATTATTAGAGAGGAAGAAAATAAGGGAGGGAGATGGACAAAGCATATAATAGAGGCTGGAAATGTTGAAGATGTCTTATGCATAAATATGTCACAGTGAAACACACCACTCTGTACAACTAGCATACACTTTTAAAAAGAGAAATGTCTTGTTATGACCCTTAAGGTTCATTTCATCTAATTAGTGCTATGGTTTGTATCTTGAACATCCCACATATGCCTTTGGTACCCATCTTGGTGCTACTGGGATACAGTAGAAACTTTAAAAGGTAGGACCTGTAGGAGCTCTTTAGGTCACTAGGGCATGTCCCTGAGGGGATTGTGGGATATCCAGTACTCTTATGGCTCTATTTCACTTTCTGACCATGAGGCGAGCAGCCTTTTCTGCCATGCACATACTGTCTCACAAGTAGTATGGCTAACTGACTGTGGACTAAAACGTCCACAACTGTTAACCCAAATGAGCCTTTTCTCTTTATAAAATGATTATCTCAGGTGTTTACAACAGTAATGGAAAGCAAACTAAGTTGAATTTTAATTTAATAAAATTGTTACTAATGGGTAACTGTGTTTGTGGTTTGTTTTTAGGAATAACTTGTCTGATTAGACTTTTGAATTCTTCTGGTGAGGAAGCCCAATCAGGACTTACAGTCTTGCTTTGTGAGATTCTCACAGCAGTGTACCTTAGTCTCTTCATCCATGGCCTGGCAACACATTCTAGTAATGAATTGTTTCGCATTGTGGCCCATCCTTTAAATGAAAAAATGTGGTCTGCTGTATTTGGTGGAGGTGCACATATTCCTATCAAAGAGCAGACACATTCAAAAACTTTACCTGGTAAGTTTTAAATTTTCTTTTTGTTTAGGCAGAAGCTTAACTTGTTGTTTATTCATTTAATGATAACTTTGTCAAATGTAATTTAGTCATTTGAAAGCTCTTGTTAAAGACCATTTTCTGAAAGCATAATTTAATAGAGAAAATGAAATATTAAGGTTTCTGGTACAGTTTTAAATATTTAAGATACTCCTGTACCAGTGATTAGAACTAACTAATGCATTTTTATTAAGTAGTGTACTGTTGAACTTTTCATTTGTTTTAAAATGCACTATAACAATGGTTTTGTTCTATCCAAATACAGATTCTCTCTTCTTTCTTTGGCAGGAAGGCACTTTGCTATACCTAGCCCCCACCAGGTAGTGGTATTCTCCATGGAATGTGTGGGCTTTTCCAAAGCTCTTTCAGCCATCAGTTCTTATAACCCTCCCAGTCTTGCAGGCAAGATACTAGCTTTAGAAATAGAATGTTACAGCTCAGCTTGCTTTGTGTTGTTTGGGAGGGTTTGGTATACATGGGACGGTTTTGTTTTGTTTGGCATTTATGGAAAATGGAGAATTTCTTTTTTATCAAGTCATTTCTGATTTAAATGATTAGTATTTTTAAAAGCTTTCTGTTCTTTTAGTCTGCTTTTGAACTCTCCATTTTGGATATTTCCTAGCTCTTAGATTAAAACATTTTTAAGTGTGTAAAAATAAAACATTGTGCGTGTTTAATCATAGAAAATCAGACTATGACTTGACATGACTGAAAAAAGCATTTCAAATGAGGCTGCTTTATGATTTGCATATTATGATTCTGGCCATTGGGGTTTTTGGATTTCTAAGTGTTTGTTACTGTGAAAAACAAATACTTTAAAAAATTGTATTCTTTTTCATTTCTAACTTTAAATGTATTATGTTTATTTAAAGATTAAAATAGATTTTCTTGAATTTGAAAGAATCATGCTTTCTGCCATTCTGATTTTGTTATTTATTAATCCATATGTGGTAATTTTGTTTTTTCAATTTTGAAGATTATAGGTAGGAAGTTTAGGAATTAGCATATTGTACCAGAAAGCCTGTTTCATTCTATACTGACATTGAACAAATAGCAAATGTTCAAATCCTTTACAAAAATGAAGCCTTATGCATACATTTGAGAGGATTATAGCAAGTTATTTATCTTTTATAAATTTTAATTCACCCCATACTATTTGCTTTTATCATACACATATACCTGGGTGTGTAGGGAGACTTGAATAGTTGTATACAGAGGATCAGATAGTTGGCAGGGGATGTAAAGATAAAAGCTTGAATTTGGCTTCATCATTCAGGAAAAAAAATATTGTCTAAATCTACATCATGACTTTTAGAATGAATTAAAAGAAAGCTAGAAAAGTTGTTATTTGGTTAAAATATTTTAAAAATACTAATAACATTATTTGCATATATTGTGTTTCTTAGAAGCAGTTTCTTAGAAAGTATGGTCCCACATGGTCATACAGCAGTAAAATCTTGGTGGCCGAGTTTCCACTTCGTCCTCTTAATTGAAATTGTTTTTTATTTTTTCCTGTTACCTAACATTCTCATCTTCTAATCCAGCTTCCTTCCTCTTTCCCACCAAGAAAAAACAGGCAAGCAGTTAGTCCATGTTTAATACTTACAATAAGCATATGCATTGAGCAACTCTGAGCAAAAGTCAACCAACTTTTTTGTGAAGAGACTTCATTTGCATACAGTTCTACCCTTACAGCATAAAACCAACTATAGACAGTACATAAACAGGTTAGTACACCTGTGTGACAGTAAGACATTTACACAATTAAGCCATACTTTTAACAATCCCTGCTTTACAGGTTGAAAGAGGTTATCATTGCTTCATTTGGAATAGAATAGGTGCCTTTTCTGTTAAAGGAATTTCAGTTTTTAAGGGCTAAAATTAGTTTTCATGTATGGCAGTACTTGATCCAACTGAAATTAGTACTGTTGAAACTGGACAAGTAGTTGCACAGTGACAATTTGTAATTTTCCTTGCCATGACTTCAAACTTCCATGAAATTTAGGGCCTAATTCAGTTTTGGTTCCTTTAAGCTACTAAAAATGTGTAAATCTAACACAGCTTCTCATACTACTTACATAGTAGGTACTATATCTACCTAAAACACTAGCTTACTACTCTGACCCATGCCCTTTGCACTAAGTCAGACTTTCTTTCTGCCTTTCTTCCTTATGAATAAATTTCAAATACAAATTAGGTTACCAAATTTGTCTTTGAAATATTTTAATTTCCACCACATCCTTTTCTGGTTTTTAAAGTTATTTCCTGTATTTCTTTTTCATCATAAAAGAAAGAAAGAAAAAAAAGAAAAGAAACGAACAAACAAACTGCCTATGAAATTTGCCTGGAACCTCATCTCAGAATTCAAGAAAAATTTCAAAATCCAAGGGTAGTAAGATTTTTAGGTTTTTTGAGTTTAGTATTAAATAATTGAAATAATTTGCACTCTTTTTACTATATCTTGAGAAATAGTTAAAATTAAACATGTTAATATAAAATATTAGAATGGTATAGATTTGCTAAGGATATGTCCAAGTATGTGTAAAAGATGAAAAATGCATACTTGTTAAGCAGCTATCATACATCAGTTCCAGTCGTTTCTGTTGAACATAGCTGTGTCAGAAACCTTTAAAACCTTGGTTGGCCTTTGTGTATAACAGTCAGATTGTTTTTTGTTTTTTGGGTTTTTTGGAGGGGGGAGGGGAATGCCACTCATAAATATTATTGCCTAAATTAGCAAGTGATCAAAAATTATCTGTTCATATGCGTTTAACTTCTTGAATATGGGACATGATAACCAAATAATGCAAAATATTTAAAACATGTTTACTTAGTAGCAGGGCTGGATGTAGTTAACAGTCAGCTTGTGTGGTGCTTGCTCATCTGACTTTAAGGATCCTTGATACTCTGAGTAAAATTTAAAACCAGTCATGTGAGTAGTAGCTATAGGAGCAATTACAGAAACTTTAAGTGATCTGATTTGAATTTGATAACCAAAAAAATATGTATGCTTCCTAAATGATGAAGCCAAATACTTGCTAATGCCAAAGCTGATCTAGTTTGGAAAAGAACGTGCAACTAGAGAAGGACAAGCAGGATAAGAGAGAAGAATGGTCAGGGAAAGGAGACAATAACTAGCAAACCAGATCTACTGATAGTAGAAATTTAAGGACCCCAAATCAACCAAGATATGAGTGATTTTCAACTTGAAATTCTGAGATATCAGTTTTGAAGGCATTATTACTTTGTCCATGCATGCAAACATAATTCAGCTATGTGGTAAATTGTAGCTTGTGGGTAAGGAGCTTTGGATGTATGGATTGTGGCAAAATATTATTATAACATCCTGTAGTCTAATTTCATTAAATAATACTCAGTTATGAACCAAGGAGATGAAATGATGTATTTTAGAAAAGGTGATCTGAATTCAGTAAAAAAAAAAAAGTATGTTTTTTAATTTTTAGCTTTAAAATTCAGCCAGATAAAAGCTGACAATCAAAAATATTTTATTTTTCTGACATCCTAATCCATATCAAAATATGTATATTTAAGATGAAATATTTCTTTATAACCCTAAAACATCTGATTTCTTAGAAGTGTTTTCAGAAGCTTGGACTCAGAGAATTTAAAAGTCAACTTTATTTTTTTAATCTAAAAAGAATACAAAACAGTTAAAAAAAAAAAAGACCAAAACCAGAACTTCATCAATGTTATTCTTATATAGTCTTAATTTTTTTGTAGCGGTGTTCTCATAAACTTAATCATATGTTGCTCTACACAACTATTATTTAATATATTCTTTTGTTAACATGTTTAAATATAACTTAACCTTGATTAAAAAAGAATAGATTTTTCACTGGGCTATAATTCAGTAGGTTAAAAATTCTTCTAAGAATGCTAATGTACATTAAATATTAATTTTCTCTTAATTCTATATCACATGTTAATTGGCGCATTAAATTTTTCTACTCTCACTAAACTATACAGGTGTATATTCATAGAGTTGAGAATTAGTTTGCTGTAGTTAATTTTTAAATTAGACATTTGGCTAAGCCATAGCAGTTTTCAAAAATTGTTTTTTGTTTTGTTAACAGTTAGAAATCCATATTTATGCTTCATATTGCATATTGTAAAGCATAAAATTTTTTCTTTTAAGAATTTTTATTGCATTTTATGAGAAAATTTGCAGTTATGAGAACTGAATTTTCTATCTTTACCTCAATGAATTTATAGTCATGACTTGTTTACAACAATTCGGGAAATAAAATGTGAAATGATTATTTTGTTTTTGTAAAACATGTCATTTTTTTTTACTATGAGACTGCTAATGATAGTTATTTTAAAGATGCATAAGGTGAGGTCAAAAATAAAGTGAATGTTTAAATTTTAAAAAAATTTATTATACTAAAAGACATTTTGCCATTAATCTCCATCAGAATACTCTCCTTTGACTCAAACACACCCCTTTGTTTTGGCAACTTTCTAAAGCAGTTGTGGCAATCCTCTTTTGAGTATCTTTTGCTGTGCTATCCTGCTACCTTAGTATTCTGAATTGATTCAAATGTGTATCTTTTATGATCATTTGTATTTAGAGTCACATGGTGCCAGATCCTGTGAATAAGGTGGAAAAATACACTGTAATGTTTTTATGTAACACAAATTGCTGTAAAAGCTTGATCAAAGAGCAGAAAGGAAACATACAGACAATATTTAAATTTAAAAATGCATTAGATTAAGATCCATTGCTTTTAATCTCCAAAATACTCCCTGTCACTTTGAACAAACATCTCATTCTTGGCAATGTATCTTTTATTGTAATAAGTTGGGTTGCTTTTTTTTTTAATTTAAACATTCACTATTTATTTCAAATCTTGTATTTTTGGCATTTTCTCATGCTTAATACAAATAAGAAAATACAGGTATTTTGTCCTGTAAAACTTGTATTAAATTCTACGTTGGATATTTAGTGACTATTCCAGGTTGTTTCCCTCATTTCTTTAGAAAATACATTAAACAGCCAAAATTCTTGACCAGTAAAGGTAAGATTTAAGCATATTTAAAATATAAAACAAAATCAGCCTTGTAAACTATAATTGAACATGCTGAGTACTTTTAATTTGTGATTCACTCTAAAGAATTTTTAAGTCTGCTGAACCTAAAAATAACTAATTTTTCCTGGAAAAAGGAATACATGTTTTGGTTAGTGGGCCATTATATATAAATTTGAACTTAAAGTTTAAAATGAATTATGTTCATTTTTTAAATGACTAAGGAAAGAAAATCCCTATAATGAAGGCAGGACCCTCCCAAAAAATGTACATACTGTTTATGTTTATAAATTTTTTTTATGTTTATAAATGTTGATAATTATTTTTTTACTCCTAAAGCTTAATGACAAAGCAAGAAACTCAGTTTTTATAAGAAGCATCTCATCTGTTTAACCTAGATTCCATCATTCAGTATTCTGTGTACCCTAATGAGATTAACCCACCTTGTTTTACAACATTCTGAGCAGTCTCAAATCCTCCAATAAAGCACCTTACGTGTATTTTCTTAGTTCTAGTGTATGTGTGTATAAGCATGGTACTGGTATGAAAATTCAAGTCTTTGTACATGATAGGCAAGTACACTACCAGAGAGCTACACTCCCAGCACCAAATTTTAAGTCATATGTCTCCTTTCCAATTTTTTGGTTGTAAGTAAGAAAAACATGTAATATTAATTTTATCGGGCTAATACCTTTTTATAGTGAGCATCTCCAGAACGTTTTAATCTTTCAAATCTAAAAAATAGCCAGGGAGTTAGCTCAGTGGCTTCAGTGCCTGCCTGGCAAGCACAAAGTCCTGAGTTTGATCCCTGGTACCAAAAAATTTAAAAAAAAAATTTTTTTTAGGTCCAGGGAGACAGCGCAGTAGAATAAGCATTTGCCTGGCAAGTGCATGATCCTGAGTTCAGTCCCCAGTACCGAAAAGATACTATCAAATCTGAAACTATACCCATTAAACAACTGTCATTTTTTTCTTTTCCCCAACCCTGTTAACTTCCTTTTGGGTTTCTGTTCCTGGGGATTTGATGACTCACCTAATTGTAATTATACACCAGTTCTCTTTTTGTGATGTGTATTTTACTTAGAATAACATCCTCAAGTTTTGTCCATGTAGCATGTGACAGAATTTTTTTTCTATTTAAAGCTGAATAATACTCCACTACAAGCATATGCTTCATTCCAAGTACCAATATATTTATTGTGTTTGATTTTTGAAATCTTACAGATATAATCTTACTGTGGCATTTGCCAAGACTTAAAAGTATATACTACTATGAGGCAGTGATCAGTAGCCTATTAATGAGAAAATCTTGTCTACAAAATATGCTTGAGTTAATTTCCAGTATATGTGTAGTTATTTATAGTGGTCCACATGTTCAATATGGACAGTTTATTCCAACCACCTTCCCACCCTCATCAGCTTGTTTCTTCTCCCTTGCTCCTTTGTCTCCTTTCCCTTTGTCTCTTTTTCCTTTCTCCAACCTTTTTTCCTTTCCTTTGTTTTCTCCCTATTCCACTCTTTCTTTCTTCACTCCCTTTCTGTTACTAATTAAAAATAAATCTAAACAGAATTTGTATTTTAATCTTTTCCTTTTTTAGAGTTTTTGAAGTTAACTGGTACAGTTATTTTTATATTTTATTTGTGCTCACATATATTTGTACTACTTAACCTTTTTATCTGAAGTACCCTGATGATAAAGAATGAATACATACTTAGGAGGATTTAGACTAAATTGTGGGTCCAGTGAGATGGCTCAACAGACTAAGTGCCTGCAGGCAAGTGCAGGGACAGAGTTTGACCCTGGCACAGCAAGTCTAGCCAGGCCTGCCCCTGGGCATGCTGAGCAGGCCACTGAGACCGGTTATGGTGGTGCATGCCTATAATCCCAGCTCTGTGGAGGCTAAAACCAGGACGATCACTAGGAGTCCAAGTGCATAGTGAGACCTTGCACCAAATACATAAAAAAAAAAAAAAAAAAAAAATACTAGGCTAAATACTCTTCTCCCTATTGTATTTTTTCAACAAAAAATGTTAAAACCATTGATTAAATAATTTACTTCCTTTCCCTCCCCCTACATTTTGTGTCTAAATTTGAGGAGCAGAATGGTTTGCTCATGAGATGACATGCACTCTATGGTATACTCAAGAGGAATTTATAGCTAGTATGTCTTAGATTAAGAAGTAGAGAATAAGTGGGCTGGGGATATAGCTCAGTAGAATAAGTGTTTGCCTGGCAAGTTCAAGGGCCTGAGTTCAATCCCTGGTTCCGCAAAAAAACAAGAAGTAGAGAATGAGATGGTTCTTCTGATGAAGTATATTTTGTAATGTTTACATCTATGTTCAGGATATTAATTTTATTGTGTCCGATTGAGAATGGCAAACTCAAAAACTAGATCTTGGCTTAGACTCCTTATAATTTTAGTCACAATAATATGGTGAAAATAACAAATATAACACAATCCTCAAGGTCTGTCCATGTTGTAGTATGTAATACAACTTTCTTCCTTCTTAGAGCTGAATAATATATTATAAATGCATGCACTCTAAATTTTCAGTTCAGTGGTCCCTCACTTATCACAGAGGTTATATTCTAGACATGCCTCCATAAATGAAAATCAGCAAAGTAATGATATTACATTTATTTTAGTATTTATATATATTTTAAGGCTTTATAAATCCTTCCCACACTCTTATAAAACCTTTCCCATACATTAAAAAAAGACAAACTTCTAATGTTCTTAACCATTTTCTGAACTCATAAACCTACATAACTTTAACAACATACGTATGCTACACAGTACTGCGAAATCCCATAGCATAGCAAAAAATCCATGATAAATAATTTATAGTTTTTGAAAACCTGCGAAAGTGAGTCTGTGAAAGTCAAACTGCAAAATATCAAGGAGCTACTGTATATTTACGGAAGATCAGAAGTGTGAGTTCAGCCTGGGCTACCTCATAAAACCTTGTCCCAAAATAAAAAAGTGGCAGAGCACAGTGGTGGAGCTTAATCTAACATGTGAGAAGACCTGGCTTTAAATAGTTCTGGGGTGGGAAACAGCATATTTTTCCCATTCTTTAGTACTTCCCATTTCTTAGATGTAGATGTAGCCTCATTCATAACTGATTCTCCTGGATATTTTTTGTTTTGTTTTGTTTTTAAATTCTTTGGGAGTTACTTTTACAAGTCTGAGCAAATCACAGTATAGGATGTGCTTATGTTGAGGAGAAAATTCTTAAGAGAAAGAAGACATATTTGTACCATATGCTCTCTTGACATGGAACCCTACTTTTGGTTAAAGCCAGTGAAGAAATATATTTTTAAAATTTCTATTCAGAAATGATTCTAAGTTTTTCCCCATGTATGTCTTAGTTTTCGTTTGGCCTCTTGGAGCTATCTTCATGACCCTTATAATTTTTCAGCTCCACCATCTAGGTTCTCTTTTAGTTTTAGAATTTATGTTAATGTATGCAATAGGTATGCTCTAAGCTTGATTATTGTCTATCAAATGCTGTGAAGCTTTGAGAAAAAATACATCCATTTAATATCTTTTTTAAAGATTATTACACCACTATTTAATATTATTAAAATACTGGCTTTTATATATTTTTTGAGATAACCAAGTTATATTAAATTTAGCTTGACCATATATTGCACTTGATTTCTTTGTCTGCAAGCTGAGTAATTATAAACAGTAAAAGAAAGTTGTATTACTGCACAAATATTTGTACACCTTTGAAAGGTAAGTTAGCTCTGTTGGAATCAGTGAAGAAGAATATTGATGTACCTTAATTTGAATTATTTGCCTGGCTACAAGATCATGCATATCCACCAGATCCTTGATTCTCTACTGGTGATTTGCATTTTAGGACCTAGTATTGAGTAAAATTATTTTTTATTTTATGAAAAAATAAAATTGCATAACAAAATAAGAAAATAACAATTAATACAATGTATCGTTATCTTCAAAGTAGTTGAAAGTATCAAAAATATTTTAATTTATGGGGTTGGGGATATACCTTAGTGGCATGAGCACCTGCCTGGTAAGTGCAAGGTCCTGAGTTCAATTCCTGGCACTAAATAAAAATTTAATACATATGCTAATTCATTTCATCTATACTACTAATTTCTCTTAGTTCCTTGAGAAAGAATAGGAAATTTCCTGTTCTTAGTTAAACTGTGGACTGAAGTGCCTGCAGACATTCTGTCCTATTACCTTTCATATACAGTAAATAAATCTACATTCAGAAAATGATAGACAATTTGCATTACAACCAGAGTTTGATATGCAAGGTAATTTTTTTCTCACTTTCGCTAATCCATTTTCTTCTCCATACTTCTATATCCTGTCCTGGTTTTCTGTAAGTACTTATTCACAGTTAACCATAGTTCTTAGAAACAGGTGAAATCTAATGAAAATAGTATTTACTTTAATAATGCTTTATTTTCTTCTTAGTTTCTTCACTAATTGAAGGAGGAGAAAAACAGAACAAACGTTTTAGGTCATCAAAAATATCTGGCAAAGAATCTGTCCCAATTACCTCTTCACCACCAGTAAATCAGGAGTCCCTGGCAGTCAAAGAGAAATTCATCCCACCTGAGCTCAGTATCTGGGACTATTTCATAGCCAAGGTAACAGAAGTGTTATTGAAATCAGTATTTGTATGATCAAAGGGAAATGCAGATGTTTAAAGTGAGTGTGCTTGCTAGTGCTTCCAAATGTTTTCCCATTCTGGTTGAGAAAAGTTTTATTTGTGTAAGTTGTTTTGTATTGTTTTGCATGAGTTGTTAACTAAGAAAGAATACTTAGTTAAATATTTAGTGTTAGTGTACTTGATAGTGGTTAAGGAATCACAGCCCCCAGAAATTAAAGTGGCCTAGTCATTGATCATTTGTACCCATTTTGGAGGGAGTGCTGGGCATCAATCGTAGGACCTAGAAATGCTAGGAAAACACTGAGCCACATTCTCCCTCATTTTAACACTGAAGGCAATGTCCTGCTCTGTTTTAATAGACATAAATTTCAGCTGCTAGTTTTTAGGTAAATGTACTCCCTCAACAACTTGAGTTGCACAGTATATTAAATGTAATTTGGGTAAAATACAAATGGCACTGTAGCTCTTCACAGACCATTATATAAATAACATACATCTCATGCTCAGTGTCTATTTAAGTCAACTCATTCAAGTCTGTCTGTCATTGATCACTTGGCACCCATTGGTCAGTTCACACAGCACAGAATGTAGTTGTTTTGCTTTCTTGTCTCCCTTATAATCCAAAGAAGAATTGGCCAACTAAGTTGAAAGGTTTTGGGAAAAAAAAAAGTGATAGTACTGAGGGGGAAATTCAAATTAAACATAAATCGAGTTAGAAAAAATAAACCAAACTGGGAATGTTGACATTGGTGTCAATTAAAAGATTCTAGATACATAAACAGTGGAAGTGAGTGAAAGTAAACTTACAAACATTAATATAGAAAATATTTCTGAGAGTAGGAAGATGCTCCAGGCATAATCACCTTCACAAAAAAATTTTACATTACCACAGATTCACAGCATTAAAACTGCAAAAAATAAAATAGTTCACACTGTAAAAACTTAGTAGCAAGATAAGTTTGTTAAACCATAGAAAAGATGTTTGCTGCGTGTGCTAAGTTATAAAGTTAGAAGAATACGAGCACTGTTGTCAAACGAAGAGAATTTTTCATGTTTTGACAAATATTTTTAAAGTTGACAGACCATTTGTAGCTTTTTAACATTTATTATTGGGATTGTTTTGTGTGACTTCTACTTGTATATTCATTTTTACAGTCCTGCAACTACTGTGCAAAGCGAATTCTGTAGGTAGCTATGTATCTTATTTTTATGTGCTCAGCCAAATCCCTCACATTATGGGTTTCTACATATTTTCTCTGCTGCCTTACATTAATTAGCATCTGTCTATTCTCTGACTGTACCATCCCCCAAGCCTGTGTTAGGTTGTGACTTTTATTTTTTCATATCCTGAATCAGTGATAGCAAATGTTTTATAGAGCTTTCTCTGATAACCAACAGCCCATTGTGGCATATAGTGCCGTAGTTCGGCTACCACTATCTTAGATGCTTCAGGAATTGAAGGGAATTTTTATTTCTTTGTTCCTTACAGTCTCTGCAGTCATTCATTCATTCATTCATTCAATAAATATTTATTAAGCACTTTGAGAATATAGTATCTTTATTTCCTCTTCAGTGTTGAAGGATAATTTTGCTTAATACAAGACTGTTGTTAGCAAGGTTTTACATAGTTGTCTAATTTCTGGATCTCCTTTTTAAATTACTGGCTGGTCTGCTCTTACTTCAGTCAACAGCACAACTCAGGCTAGATTTTAGCCTTTATGTTTGATTGAGATCTCTGTGGTATTTCATAATGCTCATAGACATGAAAAATTTCACAGACTGTGGAAGTCAGTCCCTTTGACAGAGAACTAGAATTACAGAACTGTAGTCTTTACACCTTATAAGGGTGTCCTGTCAATGAAGGAATGTGTATATAACAATATATGCTATGTACACTGCATGTATAGTAAACTCTTCTCTAGCCACTATGCCATTTTTCTGTTTCATGTTCATATTTTATGTTAACTTTCCAAGAACATATGCACATTTTCTTTCTAGTGCCTTACAATATTTCCATTTGGTACTTACTCATTTATGTAACCCACTAAAACTTCTGTTTTATTTAATTTATTTTTTTAAATAAAAAGGTCTACAGGGTCTCACTACACAGATCAGACTCATAGTGTTCCTCCTGTTTTCAGCCTCCCAAGCGCTGGGATGACAGTCATGTGCCACTACACCCAGTCTCAATCACCATCTCAGCATGCTGTGACCCAGGGGCAGGGCCAGCACAGCAGGCTGGGGATTGAACCCCTGGCCCTTTCACCTGCCTAAGCAGGCACTTTAATCTCCTGAGCTATCTGGGCGGCCCTTAAAACTTCTCTTTCAGAAATTCAGTTAAGATCCATATTAAAAAAAGTAACAACCAAAAAAAAAATTAAAGGGCTGGCCAGATAGCTTAGCTAAAGTGCCTGCTTAGGCAAAGCACAGCAGCCAGGGTTTGATCCCTGGCCTGCCATGTCAAACCTGCCCCAGGAGCATGCTGAGACTGTGATTGAGACTGGGCGTGGCATGTGCATTCTGTAAGCCCAGCACTTGGGAAGCTGAAAACAGGAGACTCACTGAGTTGGATCTTCATAGTGAGCCCCTGTAGATCCTGTACTAAAAATACATTTAAATAAATAAGTAAAAACAAAACCTTTTTTATTATCATTTTGTCTGTCCTGTTAGCAGTATTTAACATACTTACCATTCTCTCCATGAAATTCTTTTATCTCCTATTCCTTTAATGCCAGTCACTAATGTTTTTCTCTAAACTTACTGTTCATTCTTTCATAGGCTATTTTCATCCTTCTGTTTCTACTTGGGCCTTGAATCTTGATGTTTTTCAAGATTTAGGCTTTTGGTATTTACTTTGGTTAGCACCTTCCTTATGTCCAAAGCTCTTCCATTTCAGTAAATGACATCTTCATCGTTATAGTTGCTCAAGCCAGAAGTCCAGGAATCATTGTTTTTTGTTTTTTGTTTTCCTTTCTTTGGCCTTATCAATCCATTAGCAAATTAGTGCTCTCCGCTTTAAAATATTCTTAAATCTGATACTTCTCTCCAATGCCAATTCTGGCTTTAGTTTCTGCTGTCTATTTCTACTCTTGTTATTTACCTTTTTTTTTCTTATAAGAAAGTGATCATAGTAATTCTGAAATTATAAATCTGAGCCCTGTCCTCTGCTTAAAACTCATCATTGGTAACACATTCTGGTCCTTACTGTGACCTACAGGATTTTACTTAAGCTGTTGTCTACTATTTTCTTTTAACATTTTCTAACTCTTTAGCTTAGGAGATTTTCATCTAACTGCTCATTTTCATTTCAAACTCTTAAATTAGAATTTTTCTACATGGCTATTTTCATTATCTGTAATGCTTTCTTCTCTGTTCATTTTTGTTGATTAGGTCTCAAACACTACTTCTCAAGAGTCATTCTATCAGCTTATTTCAGTTCTTACAGTACTCTATCTCAAAATATTCTTTTGCAATTTAATGCAGCTTTTATTGTTTTCTGCTTTTTGCCTACCTTTACCACTAAAAGGTAAATTCTGAGGACAGTGACTGTATCCATGTTGAAATTTCTTAAATCAAGTACACTTTTGATTACATAATGGAAATGAGAATTTTTTGTTAAATGGATGAATAAATAAGGAAATTATGGAAGAGATATCAAAAGGCATAGTGTGGCAAATACTAGTTACTTTAGTTTCATATATAATGAAATATTTACAAATGAGATAACTTGTTACTATTAGATGATACATTTGAATATATTAAACCAAATATTTTAATGATAAATTACATAATTTTATTTTATTTATTTTTTAGCCTTTTTTACCTCCTTCCCATAGAGCAGAATATGACTCGGAGGAGAGTCTGGAAAGCGATGGTGGGGATGATGATGATGGTGATGATGATGTTGATGTTGCAGCCTCAGATTTCCATCTCCAAGAGCATTCTAACTCAAATTCATATAGGTGTGGAATGTTTTATTTTTAAGAAATCAAAATCATATTATATTCAGATTACTTTAGTTGAAGATGTTAAATTCCTCTCCTTAATAATTTCTCAGCAGTTCCTCACGTCTTATTCTCAGATTATGCTTTGCCTATGGGCATTAAGATAAATTCTACAGTTTTTAAAATTTATTTGATACAGAGTCTCACTGTGCAGTTCAGACTCAGTGATCGCCTAGTCTCCCCAGTGCTGGGATTACAGGTGTGCACCACCATGCCTCGTTTCTGGGCTGGCAGGGCATGTGAGTACCAGGGATTAAATTTGGGTCCTTGTGCTTGCCAGGCAGGCACTTAAATCACCAAGCTGTCTCCCTAGCCCAAGTTCTACAGTTTTATCTAGCAAGTCTGAGGTGTTTTCAGTGGAAAAATAGAAATATAAAATATTCAATAAAAGTACTGTTTTTAAAGGCTTGCATGTATTAAAAAATCATAGATGTGCATGAAAAATGCTCACCCCTTCCTCCATTTGTACATTATCCTTGGATTGATGAATGATACTGTTGCATCTGAAAAATGTATTTTAATGACATGGTATGTTAATTCTGTCTTAGTTACTTTTCTCTTTTTTTTTTTTTATCCTTTCATTTTATTCTTCTTTTCTAAAACTTTTACATACTCTCATTTCTTTATATTTCCATCTAAATTTTGGTGTCAAGTTCCTTGTGACCATAAAATATACCACGAAAGTTTTTACTGGAACTGTATTCAATCTGTAACTCAAACTGGAAGGATTGACAGTTTTATATGGTCACAGTATACTTTTCCATTTGTTAGGTCTGTTTTGATTTCCTTCAGCACTATTTAGATTTCCGCCTACAGACCAAGTGTAGATGTATATTTATACTTTAGAAATTCTTACTTTGTAACTGCTGTAAAGTAGTCTTTATTACTCCATGCTCCTGCTGTACACTACCAGACAGTATTCTTTCAGTATCCACGACAGCGTGGTTCCATGAAACCCAACACATAGCAAAATCCACAAATACGTTCTTT